CATAAAATATGTAGTGGCTGGTGTGCTTTTACAATTAGATAATTCTTTTGAGATTCAACCATGCTCTTCATGTATTATATATTACTTTTTAACATTGAGTCATAGTACATTCAGCGTATAATCACAATGTTTATGTATTTACCCACTCATGGACATATGTGTTATTTCTAGTTTGGGCTATAATGTCGAAAGCTGCAATAACACCTGCATGCTAGTCTCTGTGTGAGCATAATGTTATCATATGCTTTTGGTAAAGACCCATGAGTGGAATTACTGTGTTCTAAGAAACTACTCAACTGTTTTCTGGAGCGGCTGTATAAGTTCCCATTTCCATCAGCAACATTTAAGAGACTATGGTTGCTCCAAATCTTAGACAGTACTTGGTATTCTCAGTTATGTTAATTTTAGCCACCAAATGGGTGCAGACTGATATCTTACATGTTATGAGCTCTTTTTATATCTTCTTTGGTATAGTAACTGGTCTAATATTTTGACCATTTAAAAAAATGGACTGTTTGATTTCCTATATTGCATTACAAGTACTTCTCATCATTGAATTATGTAGTCTGTATATATGTTATATATCAGGTAGGTATTGCAAATATTTTCTCTCCATCTCTGGTTTGCTATGTGCTTGAAATCAGTGATCATGTTTGCGCATATAATTCTAGATTCTAGATTCTGTTCTATTGATCTATTTTTATGTCCATAGGTCACTATCACACTACACTGTTTTGACTTCTGTGATTTCACATTAAGCTTTGAAATTAGATTGTGTGGTATCACAAATTCTGTTACCTTTTCCAAGATTTTGTTTCATTTATCCTAAGTCCTTCCTAGTTCCAAATGTTGACTCCAATATTTCATTCACACCCCACAGCCTTTGACTGGCTATTGCTTCCTGCCCGTGTATTTTCCATCCATCTGCCATTCGGATCCTACATCCTACATCCTACATCCCCCTGGAAAGAGCCAATGGGCTACAGGCAGAAACAGAATTTGAGTGCTAGGAGGACTCTGCTTCTCAGGAGACTCAGAAGGACAAGAGCAGCTTGCTTTCTCTAAAAGGTAAATCACCCACTTTTGAGTCAGCCATCCTTAATGCACTTGGAACCTCAAAAAACCAAGAAGAATTTCAATAGCACAAGAGCAAAGAAAATAATGAGAACAAAATCAGAGGAGATGGGAAGGAATCTTCATGGTCCCCCACAACCTGGAGCACTTCCAATGCCAAGTACCCTGTGACTGTAAATAGGAGCCTGGGTAGAACTTCCCTTATCATACTGCTGAAGTCTAGGGAAAGAGTTAAGAGAAGCCCAGGAGTCCGCTGACATGCTCAATGACATTTCAGTAAAAAATCAAATGTTATTCTCGTCACTTTGAGCTTATCTGATGGTTCTTCAATATTTCTCAGGAGGGCAAAACTTCAGTGAAAAAAACACTGTTCGGGCTCCCCAAATCCCCAAATGTGAGACCCTGCCTAGGTGGGGAGCTCCCCTTCAGGAAACATGTATGCCCATGCCTGGGCCTCTGATTTTAAAACCCAACAAGCCCATCACATCTCCCACTTGGCCCATCATATTAATTACAATAGCCTCGTGCACTTTCTCTTAGGCCAATTACTCCACGATAATTAGGTCTTAAGTCAACCACGGTTCAAAGGATGTGGGCATGTGACTTCCAGAACTTCATTCTTGCTAATTATACCTGCTCAAGCCATCCTGAGATTTGTTTTACAGAAATGTGATCTTGTCGATAGCTTTGATCAAGAGATGTCTGGTCTGCAGAGGCAAGTATAAGCCAGACTCATGCGAGTAAGAAAGTAGAAGTCATCATTTTTTTCTCTTTTGTCCTGCAAAGATTGCTCATATCTAGTGAGAGAATGTAAAAAATAAGATGACCCAGGTGGGAAGATAGCCACGCTGCATGCTCCTGGAGCTGCTGTTCTCCAGGGTTCCTAAAGAAAGAAAGTGGAGTCCCACAGGGTAGAGGCTGCAGACCTCCTGAACTTGCCTGGTGCTCAGTGCACGGCAACAGAACTGGAAAACCATTGTAAGAAAGGGAACCCTCAGTGCATTCTAAAAGAATGAAAATTAAGTTCAGATAATGATGAAATCAGGATTTGGTGTGCACCAGGTCAGCACCTTAGAGGGTAAAAACCACTAGTTGATCTAAAATGATATAATAAAAGGTGCATCTGAGCCACCTTGATTCTTCCCACTGTGCACTAATGAGGGGCTCTGGGGCCATGTGACACCATTCCGAGAGGTTGATCTTTGACATCATTACCATGCCCCCCTCCTTGGGGCCACTAAGGACAGTCAATGTATGCTGGGAACAAAGCGTGGCCAGGCAAAGGAGGAATTTCAACATCAGCTCTCATCCTACAAGGTCAGTGTCCGCAAAGCCAGGTCCTTCAAAACCCTGCTTAGTCCTGCCTGACAGTGCACGCCCCCCTTAGGTCCAGGTCGACTTATCCATCCTAATGAGTGATGTTGGGAGTCAGAGAATCAAAGCATCTGAATCCAGTTTCGACATACAGTCTGATAAGAGTGAGGTCCTTATAGGAGCAGACTATTCAACATTTGGAATTCCTGTAAGATGCAGGTTAGCATAGCAGTGACAATCCAAGGAGAAAGGAGAGTCATCAACAATGGGTAGATAGACTCTAGTTTACAAAACACCCCACATCTCCACTCCTCTGCCTGCTCTCCACATTTTGGAGAACTACTTCATTCATTAAAACCTGTATTGTCTTGAGCAACTAATTATATATATATATATAGCAACTAATTTTATATATATATATATATATATATTACAAATAACTAGAAGAAAGGCTGTAAACACAAAGTAATAAGGAGATGGAAACATTAATTACCCTGGTTAAAAAAAAACCTGCATTCTCTGGGTTTCCAACAGTTACTGCATGCCTCAGTTGTCCCCAGTGGACAGGGAGTGATGAGCGAATTAGATGAGTTTCTTGCTCTCCTGCAGGCAGATTGCAGGGAGAAGACAGTTAGCAAGCTAATAGTAACAACCAGACAAGTAAATGAGGCAATTATCAAGCAGTCAACACGAGAGCAATTAGGGCCTTCTAGATCATTCCAGCTTCCAAATTCCAAAGATAGGACAGCACTGCTGGCCCAGGTGAGGCGGGGTGGAGCTAGATGAGTTGTTCTGAGCTACCTACAGTGAGCTTAAGTTTGCACTTCTTTTTCAATGAGGGCATCCTTCTTCCCATGCCAAGCACCCACACCTCTCTCCCCTGCACCCTTCCAGCCTGGCTCACAAAGGGGCTGCCCTTGTCCTTCACCTACAGTGGTCAGGGCCCTCTACCAATACAAGATCCTGGTAGTTATTTCCATTTTCTAAGGTTTTCTTCAATTATTTCTTCAGTGTTCTAGAATTTCTTTTTTTTCTTCTTTTTTTTTTGGGGGGGGGGTACCAGGGACTGAACTCAAGGGCGCTCAACCACTGAGCCACATCCCCAGTCTATTTTATATTTTATTTAGAGAGTCTCACTGAGTTGCTCAGTTCTTTTCCACTGTTGAGGCTGACTTTGAACTTGCAATTCTCCTGTCTCAGCCTCCAAAGTCACTAGGATCATAGGTGTACACCACTGTGTAGAGATCTTTCACCTCCTTTGTTAGATGAATTCATCAATTATTTTAGAAATTATTGTGAATGGGATTTATTCCTGATTCCTTTCTCAGTAGAATCACTGTTGGATTATAAGAATGATATTAATTTATGAATGCTGGTCTTATAATCTGCTACTTTACTGAATTTATTATCCCCAAATAGAGGTTTTTGAGCCTTCTAGATATAGGATCATGTCAGAGATAATTTGACTTCTTCCTTTTCTATTTGTATTCCTTTAATTTACTTTTCTTGCCTGATTGCTCTGGCTAGAATTTCAAGAACTGCATTGAATAGTAGTGGTGAGAATGGACATTCCTATCATGTTCCTAATTTTAGAAGAAATGCTTTCAGTTTTTCACCATACAGTATGATGTTTGGCTTTGGATTAGTCATATATAATCTTCAGAGTGTTGAGGAAAGTTTCTTTTTTCCCTAGATTTCCCAGCATTATTAACATGAATGAGTACTATATTTTATCAAAGGTCCTTTCTGCATCTACTGAATTCTATTTATGTAGTGAATTACATTAATTGATTTGTGTGTTAAACAAATCTTGCATCCCTGGGATGAAACCCGCTTGTTTGTGTATATTATGTTCTTTTTATGTTTTTCAAGGTGGCTTGCTCATATTTTATGATACAAATTTGCAGTTATGTTCATCAGGGATATTGGTCTACAGTATTCTTTCCTTGATGTGTCTTTGTTTGGTTTGATTGTTAGGGTTATTCTAGCTTCCTAGAATGTATTTGGGAGTGTTCTCTCTCCTTCAGTTTCATGGAGTAATTTGAGAACTGGTGTTAGTTCTTATTTAAAGATCTGGTAGAACTCAGGTGATAATTCATCTGGTCCTGGGGTTCTCTTTGTAGGTAGGCTTTTAATTGCTGTTTCAATTCTGTTGCTTAATATTGGTCTGTTTAGGTTTTTTTTTTTTAAATATCATCCTGATTAAATTTGGGCAGGCCATATGTATCTAGAAATTTGTCAATGTTCTTCTTCTGGATTTTCTAGTTTATTGGCATATAAATGTTGGATTATAGGAAACAATATATTAGAAAATGGTTTCCAATGATTCTCTGGATTTCAGAAGTATCTTTGGTAATATTTGCTTTTTCTTCTCTCTTGTCTATTTTGGATAAGAATTTATTTGTTTTATTTATCTTTTTGAAGATCCAACTCTCTGTGGCATTGATCCTATATATTTTTTTAATTTTTTTTTAGTTATAACTCCAGAACATTTTAATTTTAAAGAGCCTTAATAAACAAAAACCCCAGTTTCCAAATGTCCATTCAAAAGGGAATGAATAATCAGTTCCATCAGTATTTGTAAGAAAACTAAAGGAAAATAAAAAAAGAGGTGAGGAGATAAAGTTTAATAACCATTCTTCATAAGATAAAATACTGCTTCCTCAAATAACTCAACATCAATTAATGATATGGATAGACAGGAAAATAACTGTACATATTTGCCTTAAATACAGTATTAGGTAATGCACGCCAGCTGAGCTGTTTAGGAATGGCTTGCTAAAACATTGAAAAAATGAAAGACTTCATCCTTGTCGTAGACTGCCACTTCTGTGGAACATTCTGTACACATGACTGGGTGATAGATTTCTTCCACTTCTGTCTCTGCCTGCTCTGCAGAGTCTTCATGGTTAGACTTCATCTTCTTATAGCCCCGCCTTTTCTTCCTGTTCTCTGAGTTTTTATATCTTAGAACCTCCTCTTTGTTGACAGAACAATTCATCACGAACATTGCTCTATATTGAGTTTTGTAGGATTCATGCCTTTGGCAATCAAGGCACAGTGTCGTCATGCAAGCTGGGCAATTCAAAACAGCATCACTATTTGGAACAGGCTGTTGATGACGTGGCCTCTGTAACCCAAAACCATGATAACCCCTTCTCTGTGCATCAACCCAGGCCTGGTCTCTGTTATCTTTTTCAGGATCATATAGTAATTCATCATTTGTTGGAATCCTGTGTCGTTTCTTCTTTTTTTTTCTTGGTCACCTGTGCTGCTTTGTCTTCATCCTCAGAATCTGAATCAAAATATATATCATCATAATACTTTGCCGGAGCTATTCCAACTTTATTATTTCCTGAAGAAGACCCTGTTCCTAGAGAAGATAATTTGTCCTCCATTGTTTTTATAGTAGAATTCAATTCAGCTTCCATTTCTTTTTCAAATTCATCTTCACTAGATGACTCACTTTCTCCAGTAAGACATTCTCTGATGAGTTTTTGTTTTTGGTCTGGAGTTCCATGTAAAAGCACATCCACTTCATCTTCAGAGCTGCTCAAAGCTGGCTCCTCGTCGCTAGGCTCTTCAACCGCGTAGGGGTCGTAGTCATCCTGCAGCCGGTTCATGGCGGCCTAAAGCTGCCTATACCGTCCACTCTATTTTTTTAATTTTTAATTTTATTAATTTTGGCTCTGATTGTAATCTTTTCCTGTCTTCTACTGATGTTGGAATTAGTTTATTCTTCATTTTCCAAGACCTTTAGGTGGAATATTAGGTTATTTATTTGGAACATTTCTATTTTTTTAATGTGAGCATTCAATGGTATAAAATTTCCTCTTATAACTGCTTTAATACTGTCCCAGGGATTTTGATATGTTGCATCTCTGTTCTCATTTGTTTCTAAGAATTTATTAATTTCTCCTCTCATTTCTTCTATTTTTGATTGTTTATTTAAAAGAACATTGTTCAATCTCCATAAGTTAATGTGGTTTCTATTGTTTTTCTTGCTGTGGATTTCTAGGTTTATTACATTATTATCTGATATGACACACAAGATTATATCAGATTTGTTGTGACCTAGAATATGCTAAGACTTACATTGTGACCAAGAATATGCTCTATTTTGAAAAAGTTTCATCAGCTGCTGAGAAGAAAGTAAATACAGCTGTTTTGTGGTGAATTATTCTGTAGTTGTATATAGATCCATTTGACTTACAGTATTATTTAGGTCAGAACTATGTTTACTATTTTTTATTGGTGATAGAGATATGTTGAAATCAACTAGTATTATTGTATTGTGGTCTATCTGGGCTTAATATCAAGAAGTATTTTTATGTAATTAAGTGTAATGACATTTGAGTGTATATATTATATACTAACTTTCTATCTTCTTGTTGGATTGTCCCCTTTATCAGTATGTAGTGACCTTCTTTGCCTCTTCTTTTTCTTTTTCTTTTTTTCCCTTAAGATTTACATTGTCAGATATAAGGGGAGCTACTTCTGTTTGCTTTTGGGCTCCATTTACATGAAATTTTTTTTCCATCAATTTACTTGTATCTTTTCCTATGAAATGAATCTCTTGAAAATAGCAAATCATTGGATCTTAGATTTTTAAATCTATTCTGCTAATCTACATCTTTTAATGGGGTAGTTGAGATCCTTTACATTCAGTGTAATTATGGATGTGTGTTTGTCTTTCGCTGACATTTTGATTTGTTTGCTGTATTTAATTGTCTTGATTTTAATATAATTGATTGCTCTTCTAGTGATCTTGATCTATTTGGGATTTCTTTAGGGCTTCCTTTGTGTGCAGTATATCTTTGAGTATTCTTATTAGTGTTGGCTTAATGGTCATTAATTCTTATAGTTTATCTTGTTGTTGTTTGTGCACCAAATTTGAAAGATACCTTTGCTGGGTATAGTAATTGGCTGGCAATTCTTTCAGAGCTTGGAATATCTTATTCCAGGCCCTCCTTGATCTTAGGGTCTGCATTGAGAAGTGAGAAGTGAGCCTTATCATCTTGCCTCTGAATGTCACCTGATGTTTTTTCTCTTTTCTCTCACAGCTTTTAAAATTCTTTTATCATTTTCTTTTCCTTTTTTTCTTAGTACTGGGGATTGAACTCAGGGACACTCAACTACTGAGCCACATTCCCAGCCCTAGTTTGTATTTTATTTAGAGACAGGGTCTCATTGACTTGCTTAGCGCCTCACCACTGCTGAGGCTGACTTTGAACTCAAAATCCTCCTGACTC